CCTCCTAATTAGATTAGGAGATGGCTGATGTGATCTGCAGATAAGATAAGGGTTATCCCTTATCACTTAAAGGGACTTCTAATCCAAATATGATTTGGATTAGCAACTCCTAATGGAATTAGGAGTTGATCCCTTTAAGATTATGAAAGAAAGAAAGGGGCGATATACAGTTAGTGATTGATGTTCAATTAATTCTCTTCAAAGTTGAAGATCACTAGAAGAGAGATTTTTGCACCCTACGAATTCTCTCTTGCCACCTCCTTCCTACCGCCGCCATCACCTTCAGTTCGATCTCCAATTCTTGGGAGAAATCAAGATCTGATCTTGATTCCAATCTTTTGGGAAAAGGTTGGTTGGAGCTGTACTCACAAGCCGTTCAGTTGATTCTTGTGAAGGGTCAAGTTCTTTTGGAATAACATTGCTGATTCTACTCCATCCTGCACTACGCCATCTTCAATGGGAGCGGATTTTGGATCCTTCCTTGGGCGTGAACACCTCCATTGGGAGATATTGCTTCTCTGTATCAGGTACATCCTCCCTCCTACCCCTTTTGGTTCAGATCTGGTTTGGTTCTTGATTCAAGATTGATCATTGAAAAACATGTTTTTCAAATATAGGAAATTCGATTCCCTGCAAAGATGGGAAAAATTTTTGAAATTTGCCCTATCCATTCCGCAAGACTTGGGCATCCATGTGATGGATATCCCATCCCTTCATCCTGACCACATATAGAGTAAGTAAGTGATGCTACTTGATCCGGTGTAGTGCACGAACTGAGGAAGGCAGTCAGATGGTCCTTGCCAATAGGGTAGAGCCAAGGTGTAAAGACGGAGTTGCGCTTCAAGACTTGTGATCAAGAAAGGGTGTTAGAGGCCCGAAGAGTTATCCCCAGTTTGATACTCCGATGCTCAAGTCAGTAGAGGGTGGTGAATGGTCGGGCCGAGCAATAAAGGTGCTGGTCCAAGCAAAGTAACAGTATGGGTGCTAAAAGTCGGAATCCCTTAACTTGAGTGGGAGATACCTTTTTATAGCCGGAGGTCCGTGTCCTGGTCAGATTGGGCTTCTGGGGTTGTCAGGATGAGGTTAACCGCCAAGGTCTTTGGGATAGAGTCCTATTCCCCAGCGGAATTGCCTTCCTCCCTCCTCCTATCCTTGGTCGTGCTTATCTGCGTGATGTGTAGCTGACGTGGCTGAGATGATAAAATGGGGGCTACAATAATAGCGCAGCATGGCCATGGCCGCGGAGTTGGCATATGCCGCGAAGCTGGCCGAGCCATGCTGATGTGGCTAGGGATGACCAAGCAATGACTGGGCGGCCACGTGTCGTCTAAGGCCAACTCAACCATGACCCGAACAGCACTCCCCCAGTTCTGAAGTCGATGAATGAAGTGCTCGGCTAAGGTGTAGAGTGGCATGGTGCTTTGTTTCTCAGTTGAGGAACTCCAAGTTGAAGTCCTGGTTGAGCGTTTTGTCCGCCTCGCATTCCTCGATGCTTGGCGGAACTTGTCACCTGCGCAATGTGGGTTGTGGCTGAGGAGTTCTTCGATCGTCGGCTACGAAACTTCGAGAATTCAAATTTTGGAATCCGAACACCACTCCCCCAGTTCTAGAGTCGAGGAGAGGAATGCTCGGTCGAGGCATTGCGCGGTCATGAGAGGAGTGCTCGGCCGAGGCATTGCGCGACCGTGAGAGGAGTGCTTGGCCAAGGCATTGTGCAGTCGTTTACCCTAGTTAGGTGCCGAGGAGCTAAGTTGGTGTTCGAAGTTTGGGACTCTCTTATGCTTGGTTGTGTTGCATCGCAAAACGGCTCTTCGTTCTTCGGCTGAGGAGCTAATACCCGACATTTCGGAATCCAAACACCACTCCCCCAGTTCCAAAGTCGAAGAATGGAGTGCCCGGTTGGGATGCAGTGCGGGCTCTCTCTCTCTCTTTCCAGTTGGGTTCCTCGGTCTTGTCATGGCCGAGGTCTAGGGTTGGCCGAGATATTCAATCTCCGGTTAGTGGGGTTGGATTATGTTCTGAGCTCTCATCTTCGGGACGCTCAGTTATTGGTGTCGAGAGCTTTTTGGCTCTTTGAGGGCTGGTCGTTGCTCAGCTAGCTCTGGTCTGACTGTTAGTTAGTGGATGTGTGGAGTTCAATGACCGCCCTCAGGCCCTGATGGGCGGGGGCGTTCTTCTCCGCTTTAGGCTCGGGCCGTGGATAGCTGAGACGGTTTACTTGGTTGGCGATATGCTACCGATCTACGTGTCATGGGCGCAG